ATGCCCTGGTCATGAATGGGGTAAAACTTTTCGGAGGTCAAGTGGTTAAAAATTAATTAAATAGCGTTCTTGATTGTTGGCGCTCAGGTACAGCTTAGTTCCACTTGAAGTGTAGTTTAGCTTTAAGACAGCTTAGACTTTTAGGGAATCGTACATTGCAGCATTCTGTCTTCAGTAGCATTTCAATACATCTCTGGTGCTATAAAACTACGTGTGTGATATTGAAACTGATATATGATTTTTTGCCCTTCTCTATCCATGTATTTTGAGGCACATTTAAAGACCAAAATCCCATACAAACAAGATATTCTCCCCCTTTAAATATATGTTTTATTGCTCATAAGAGCTTTCTGTGAACACAGCAATAATGTCTGACACCTATAGTTTCTTTGATATCTCCATATACACTTCAAACTGACAAACCGCTATGTGACACATTAATAATCTCCAATTATATCGCCATACACTGCTTAACCATTGTCAGATTCTAGCTGCAGTCTTTAAATAAGATTTGGCATTTCATCAAGATGTGTAAGCCTTCCAAATCAGATTTGCCAGTTTTTATTACAACAATCCATCTATTACGTTTTTATAGTCCTTTCACATAGTGGCTCTTAATTTCATTGCTCGACCTTTATTGAGTCTTTCTTGCCATGGCTTGAGGAAACCATAGCAGGGAATGCCAAAATGGTTGACGTTGGTTATGAAATATATCATATAAGAACAGCTGATGGCACATCAAATTAGGTCTTTTATAGAAGAAGAGTATTGGACTAAAGAGCAGGGTACTGCACAGTCTTTGTTCCTCCTCTTGGTCCTCAGTATTGTCCAGAACCATAGCAGATAGATTGCCCCATGGGTTGAGCTAAAATGTCTAATGACGTGTATTACTAGTCTGTGATTTCCCTACATATTTGTAGGATTGATGGGGACTTATAATACAAGAATTAAACTAGAAAGTCCAAAATGAGGTTACAGTGGGGATCGAAAGTTTGGGCACCCCAGCTAAAATCCTGCGAGCTGTTCTGTCTGATATTTTTCTTGGTCTTCCAGATCTTGCTTTAACTTCCACTGTTCCTGATGACTGCCATTTCTTAATTACATTCCAAACAGAGGATATTGACATCTGAAAACACTTTGCTATCTTCTTATAGCCTTCTCCAGCTTTGTGAGCGTCAACTATTTTCAGTTTCAGTTTTCTAGACAACTGCTTAGAAGAACCCATGGTGCTGATTGTTGGGGCAAGGTCAGATGAGTCTGGGCATTTAAAACCTTTGAGATTGACATCACCTGGTCTTCCCAGACGATGATTGAGAACAATCCATGACACTGGCAGGTTTCAGCTTTGCAAAGGGGGCAGTACAAGATATTAACTCTGCAGGGTGCCCAAACTTTTGCAGACGCCATTTTTTTGTTTTCTGTTATTTTGAAAGTGTAAATGATGGAAATAAAATCTAACTTTTGTTGACATATTATAAGAATGTCTAATCTGTAATTTGATTCCTTTTGGAGATTTTTCCATCTTTCCTTGGCTTCTTTATGCACATTAATACAAATTTTTAGCTGGGGTGCCCAAACTTTCAATCCCCACTGTACCTCCATGGGACCACGTGGTTAGATCAAAGTATTTATTGAAACAAATAGAAAAAACATATAATTGGTATCAATGCTGAAAAAACACCCCCCACGATACTCCCACTAAATATGACAACATTGTCATAAAAGGTACGGACAGAAACTAACAAAGCACACCTAATTCGTCCTTAGTGACACATATCTCAAATAGTATATCACAAAGCAAACGGGCCATAGACCTACTCCATCACAGACTGATGGGCTACTGGAAGGGCAGTACTGCCTAAAACTATTAAAGTACATAAAAATACAGTATTTAAGTATTTAGCAGCCCAGTAGTGGATCTGTCTGGATGGAGTAGGCTGCCACCAAAGTGCACAACAAATTAACCCCAGATTATATAAACCATGCCCATGCCTAAAACAAATTGCACCAGTTACTAAGATAATGGGGACATGTAATCCAACCTTTCTATGCACTCTTTTCTCTACTGGAATTTCCATGTTTTGTCCCGTAATATGGTAGCTTACATATTAGCCAGACCGTCAGCCTATCCCAACTTTGCCCAATAAAAAGATGGAATCACACTACAAGCAGTGTTTCATAAAGAGAATTAAAAAGCCAAGAAAACATTTAATCTTCACCTGTCCTGCTGTCTGCTCCTCCAAGCTTGAAGAACTTTTTCTTCTGCATCCAACACACTTCCAAGTGTGTCACCTCCCTGGAACTCTGCTTTGAACTGTGGTTCTTCCCACCAGGCCCTACATCAGTCATGTGTTGTGTAGAGTCATAGGGGCTAGTGGATGGAATTATAGCTCGCAGTGGGGGGTGCAGATCTTTAACACAACTGGAAGCGTCAGATGCTAAAGATTCTGTCGGAGGCTGTAGCTTTGTAAGAGAGTGAAGTGAGGACTTGCTGCTCGCTGGAGAAGTATTTACACTGTTTTACAGCGGTTAATATTTAGAACGTTTTTTAATGCAACATAGTTGATCTTGCCAGAGTCCATTTATAGATAGTTCCAGAATAGAACCAAGTATCACATGAACTTAGTGTCCTTAGTCAGAAAAGAACAAAGCACCACATGCAGATAGTGTTCTTAGTCAGAATAAAATAAAGCTCCATATGCAGAAAGTGCCCTTGATGGCAATAAAACCGAGCACCACAGTTAGTGTGATGAAAAGAAAATTAAAACATTGCATGAAGATAGTCATTGGGGGGAAAAGAACCAAACACCACATGCATGTAGTGTCCTTGGTAGGAATAGGGACAAGCACTCTGTGCAGATTATGTCCATGGTAAGAAAAGGACCAAGCGCCCCATGCACATAGTGTCCTTTGTAGGAATAGAACCAAGCAATCCATGTAGATAGTTTCCTTGGTGATAATACACTCAAGCACTCAATGCAGATAGTGCCATTGGTGAGAATAGAACCAAGCCCCCCATGCAGATAGTGACCTTTGTAGGAAAAGGATCAAGCATCCCATGCACCTAGTGTCCTTGGTCAGAAAAAAACAAGAATCACATGCAGATATTGTGAGAAGAGAATAAAGCTGTACATGCAGAAAAGTGTCCCTAGTAGCAATAAAACAAGCACTATATGCAGGTATTTTCCTTGGTGAGAATATATCCAATCAGATACCCCATACAGATAGTGTCCTTGGTGGGAGAAGAAACAAGCACTGAATGCAGACATCTTCCTTGATGGAAACAGAACCAAGCACCCCATGGAGATAATGTCCTTTGTGGCAAAAGAACCTAGAACCATATTAAAAAGATGCAGATAGTGTTGTTGGTGGGAAAAGGACGAAGTACTGCATGAAAATGGCGTCCTAGGTCAGAATAGAATCAAGCACTCTGTTCAGATATTGTCCTTTTAGAAAAGGAACCAATCATCCATATAGATAGTATCCTATGTGGAAATAGAACCAAGCACTCCAAACAGATAGTATCCTATGTGGAAATAGAACCGAGCACTCCAAACAGATAGTATCCTATGTGGAAATAGAACCAAGCACTCCAAACAGATAGTATCCTATGTGGAAATAGAACCAAGCACTCCATACAGATAGTATCCTATATGGAAATAAAACTGAGCACTCCATACAGATAGTATCCTATATGGAAATAGAACTGAGCACTCCATATAGATAGTATCCTATGTAAAAATAGAACTGAGCACTCCATACAGATAGTGTCCTTGTTGGGAATAGAACCGAGCACTCCATATAGATAGTATCCTATATGGAAATAGAACTGAGCACTCCATATAGATAGTATCCTATGTAAAAATAGAACTGAGCACTCCATATAGATAGTATCCTATGTAAAAATAGAACCAAGCACTCCAAACAGATAGTATCCTATGTGAAAATAGAACAAAGCACTCCATGCAGATAGTGTCCTTGTTGGGAATAGAGCCAAGCACTCCATACAGATAGTATCCTATGTAAAAATAGAACCAAGCACTCCATACAGATAGTATCCTATGTGAAAATAGAACAAAGCACTCCATACAGATAGTGTCCTTGTGGGAATAGAACAAAGCACTCCATACAGACAGTGTCCTTGTTGGGAATAGAACCAAAGCACTCCATACAGATAGTGTCCTTGTTGGGAATAGAACCGAGCACTCCATACAGATAGTATCCTATGTAAAAATAGAACCAAGCACTCCATACAGATAGTGTCCTTGTTGGGAATAGAACCGAGCACTCCATACAGATAGTGTCCTTGTTGGGAATAGAACCGAGCACTCCATACAGATAGTGTCCTTGTTGGGAATAGAACCGAGCACTCCATACAGATAGTATCCTATGTAAAAATAGAACCAAGCACTCCATACAGATAGTGTCCTTGTTGGGAATAGAACCGAGCACTCCATACAGATAGTGTCCTTGTTGGGAATAGAACCGAGCACTCCATACAGATAGTGTCCTTGTTGGGAATAGAACCGAGCACTCCATACAGATAATGTGTCCTTGTTGGGAATGAACCGAGCACTCCATACAGATAATGTGCTTGTTGGGAATAGAACAAAGCACTTCATATAGATAGCATCTTATATGAGAATAGAACCTAAGCACACATACAGTAGTATCCTTGGTTAAACACAGACCCAAACACTCCATATGTATAGAGTCCTTGGTGGGAATAGAACCAAGCACTCCATACAGATAATATTCTTTGGTTAGAATGGAACCAAGCATTCCAAACAGATAGTGACTGTGGAAGGTTTACAGTAGAACTAAGAACCTAAATTCTGGAAAACAAGAGTGCAAACCGCAAAATTTTGTCTAATCTAAATGGTAGTTTTTGGTAAGTTAGTTTTTTATAAGGTCTCTTGTGCTTTTGGATTCTGCCATCAAAATATATAACTAATTTAGAGCTAGAAATCTACATCTAACATTTTTTTTCCTTTCTGTAGGTATTGGAAAAACAAACATTTATCACCTAAAAGACTGAGCACCGGTATCCTGATGTATACACTGGCCTCATCTATCTGTGACGAAATACACCTCTATGGATTTTGGCCCTTTGGGTGGGACCCAAACAGCGGGAAGGATCTACCGTACCATTACTATGACAAAAAAGGAACAAAATTCACCACAAAATGGCAGGAGTCACACCAATTACCTGCCGAGTTCAAACTGCTCTACAAGATGCACCGTGAAGGACTAACAAGGTTAACGCTGTCACATTGTGCCTAAAAATGAAACCAGAAACATGAAGTGCCATTGTTCTAAAAGTGCCCAAAAGTAATTGAATAGTCATCAAACACAAATAAAAAAAAATCAAAATCAAAACAAAAATGTACTTCATGACATAGAATGTAGAATCTTTTCCCATTCCTTGTAATGTATTTGTTAGAGGTTAGAGACCGAGAAATGATCCGTTTTCAGAGAATGACAATGGTTGAAAGTATTTTATAGAAAACTAAAAAAAAACTCAAATCCATATGCTGCTAGGTAGTTATTTCTTGTATTTTATTACCAGTTTGGAATATCCGTTACATTCTGATATTTCGCTGCAATCATCATTAAAAGGTACAAGCCTGCCACAACTGATATTTAATGTGTACGCAAAGCCAAAACTTTTTAATTTAGCTTTGCAAAGCTGTGAAAGGCTTAGAACCTTTGCCATGTTTTTATTGCTGTCTTTTGGGGAGATTTACCCATCTGTTGATCTTAACATCCTTTTTCTCTGGTACAGAAAGTGAAGGCACACTCAAAATTGTTGTCACAGGAACAGGAGGGAAAATCTTCGGTGACAGTGCCGTGCCCTGCAGTGTGGAAAGGGTTTTGTGTCAATAATGATTTTCATCCAGGCAGGTTGAGGGGCTCTAGGGTTCTTGTCTGTTTCAGAGAAAACTTTTTTTTTCAGTTTCATCAGAAGTTAGTAAAACCTAGAGTCTTGGACCTGGAGTCTGGAGGCTTTGTAGAGACTTGGGAGGGATGAAGTCTTCAATTTTGGGTTTTGGAGATTTCATTGCTTACAGGTCTCTATGAAGCCTCTGGACTCCAGGTTCCAAACTAGGTTTTACAACCTCTGAGGAAAATGAAAAACCAGTTTCTTCTGTATAAGGCAAGCACCCTGGAGCCCCTAAACTTTCCTGGGTGAGAACCCTGGATGATACAAAACCCTTTTCACACTGTACAGTGCTGTCACACTCCCAAAAAAGAACATCTGTTATGGCGACAGCAGGCTAAAACCCACAATGTATGTTACAATCTCCTTTAGATCTGGCAACAACTATGTAGTGGAGGGCCATGTCTGATTGGTTCGTTTACAGAGGTCCTCATATCACATAGTTGTAGTAAACCTAAAGTTGATTGTACAATCAGACTGTAATGTGTATAGTGAGCATAAAATAGAATGTCCCCCTACTTTGAAGAAATTTCCTCCTCTAACTTCCTTTTGCACCCATGGAACAGGAAGTGAACAAAAATGTATCCAATCGTACACAGACAGCAAAAAAAAAAAAAAAACTGGAAGGGGTCTTAACCCTTCCCCATTCCATCCAAAACTAATAAAAAACATTTTAACAAGGCTTTACATACACTTTAAGGATAGTTTTGTTTTTTTTATTCTGGTGCTTGGATATTTCTTGGGGACAGTAGTGAAGTCTTTGTTTGTCTTTGTTTGTTGTTCCTCCCACCTGCCACTGCCTTTAGGGGGTCTCGGTCTCCCTGGTGGATTTTTCATACTCAGAAGGAAACTCAAGAAAGCAGAGCTCTCTATTAGCGTTCCCAAGAGATATAAAAAGCCAACTCCATTCACTTGTAACTGATATATCAGATTTTGATGGACCTACCCTTTATTTTAGACAAGCAGCAGAACATGTGCATTCATTTTGTGTGGCATTTAGGTTTGCAGATTGTGAAAATCATGTTTTTTTTCTTTTTAATCACTTGTTATATGCAAGCTTTAATGTGAAACATAAATGATTTCTGATTTGCTCAATTCAATATTCTGTAGGTATTCAGCATTCTAAAAAAAGCTGTGTTCTATCTTATGACTGTTTGGGTGGCATTTTCCAATACTTCTTAGAAGCAACAGCTGACAATTTATAATTGTCAGAGCCAGTAAGAACCGGTCATCTTGAACTACAAGTTACCTTATAAAACAATTTAGAAACAATCAAGAACTGCAGCCACATGTAAAACATCAATTTAGTGCACTTGTATAGTCTATGAAAACAGTATTTTTTTAGCAATATTAACCCCAAAAGCAAACATTTATTGTACAGAGTGCAGCTTAAAATGGTATTAAACCCCAAACCAAACATATTATATTGCATCTTACCAATTCTTAGATGTGATGGCTGCATTAGTTTCTTTTTTTAGGTTTTTTTCTTCTGATGATCTAGCCAGCAAGTCTGTTGTTTTCAAAAGTTCAAGCTCTCTAGTAGAATGTATCAATTTACATGGATGAGACAAACCACTTTAAGCTGGCAGGAGTGATTACAATGATCAGGTTTGCAAAACCTTTATCCCAAAAGGAAAATAAAAACCGCTGTAACTGATTATAAAGTGTGAGCTGGAGTTTGGCTTCAATTGGTTAGTGTATCTAAATCTGCTAATACATTTAACACTCCCCACCATCCAGACTGATAATGCTGCGGTCTGCTCTCTGTGTCCTGTGTCTCACTAATACAGGAGGTGTGTTACTGGCCAGATCACCAGTTGAAAACAGGAAAAGGCCAAAGAAAAGAAAACTAATGCAGCCACCACATCTAATGATTGGTAAGCTGCAATCTAATATGTTTGGTTTGGGGTTTAATACCACTTTAAGCTGCACTCTGTACCAGTGCGCGCAATACTGATTTATAATTAATGCCACAAGTGAATAGACCAATACTTTTCATCATAGGAGGAGGCCATGCTGCTCCATACCTGAAAGCACTGTGCATTTCCCAGTGGTGGCCACAGAAGAAATAGCGGCAGGAGAGCACTAAAGAGGCAAGAATAAAGTGGTTGAGACAGCTTTAGGCTCCATGTACACTGCAGCTGATAAACTCACGTTCAGGAGCTTTTCTGTGTTTTTTTCCAGCAGCCCCTGAACTCTCCCTAATGTTTTCCTATGTGTCCATGTACACATCGTCATTTACAGGCAGTTGAGTTTACAGTCGTTTTCTTGAACGCACCAAACTTATCAGCGTTTCAAACGCTTGTAAACACGGCTAACCGTATCTATAAACGTTTGCAAATTTTTTTTAACTCTTCCATTTCCAGATGCTGTCCAGAGCCTTTTTTCAATGCATGCAAAGCGCTTTCCCGCTACTCAAATGGACCCGGTACACCATACTTGGAGGTTTCGCATGAAAGAAAATATGTGAGACACTGCTGCAATAATTTCTGCACAGAAATGAGCTGGAACACATCCAAACACCAAAATGTCTGAAATAGTTTTTTTTTACTGTTTTTCAGTGCATTCTGGACATTTTGGAAGGTCTCCTGAGGTTATCTTTAAATAATGCTTCTAAACGCAAACGCTCATAAACGCGGTATGCAAACGCAGCTAAACAGACGTTTTTTAACCTACGTTTTCCAGCAGTTTTCATCGTTCAGAAGTGTCCCGTGTACATGGAGCCTTAGGCTCCGTTCACACCTATATGCAGTTTGCTTTTTGTCTGTTTTGCAGTGTTTTTCATAGTACGTTTTTGTGTTTTTTTACAGGTGTTTTTGACATGTCAGGGACTTTTTTTAAAAGCAAAAAGCAGCATTTTTGCTGCACTAGAGTTCAATGGAGAATCGTCTGAAATGCATAGTAGTGCGTTTTTGCTGTGTTTTATGTTTTGCATTTTTATTCTGCCCAGCAAAAAAAAAAATTCCATTTAAAAAAAAAAAACATAATGCAAAACGCGGTAAGCGTTTTGCATTACGTTCTTTTTTTTTTTTTCTTTTTTTTTTTAAATGGAATTTTTTTTTTTGCTGGGCAGAATAAAAATGCAAAACATAAAACACAGCAAAAACGCACTACTATGCATTTCAGCAGATTCTCCATTGAACTCTAGTGCAGCAAAAATGCTGCTTTTTGCTTTTAAAAAAGTCCCTGACCCTTTCCAAAAAGGCAGCAGCTAATGTGAACATGCTCCATGGGAAACCATGTTAGTGACTGTAGTGCGTTTCTGCAAAAAGCACTAAAAAAGGCTTTGCTGTGAACGGAACCTTACACAGACACTGGGGGGAATTCATAAAGGGTGTTGTAGACACCTTCTAGAATTTCATCAGAGAGCAGCTCCAAAGGTGTCAGTGCTTGCGCCAAATTTATATACCTGACACACACAGGCGCATGTATTTGTCCTTATCTGCACTGAATGTCTACACTGGACACTCCCTCAGTGTACTCTCTCCCACCCTCCCTCCCCGGCCACTGTGCCCGTCATGCTGACAGGTGCACGGCTAAGGTGTTAAATACTAGGGGTGGGCGGAGCCTGATGAAGAAATGAGAGACTAGATCCCCATAAGGTCCCCTTCACTTTTGATTGACAGCGCACGGGAGTGGGAGGATCCATAGCTGCTAATCAGTCACATAGCGGCTTTTGATTCCACCTACTGCAAAAGTGAAGCAGACCTGATGGGGAACTAGTGTTTTGTTTCTCCATCAGGCTCCGCCCACTCAGTGACAAGCATTCCCCAAATATGAGCATTGCCCATATTTGGGTAATGACATCAGCTGTATCCCCGGCCCTTTGGTTTCCATTTATCTTTCAGCCGGGGAGTCTCCCGGCCAACAGTAAAATGAGGCAGGGGAAGCATTTATTTATTACAGGTAAAGGGAGGAGGCCATGCTGCTCCATACCTGAAAGCACTGTGCATTTCCCAGTGGTGGCCACAGAAGAAATAGCGGCAGGAGAGCACTAAAGAGGCAAGAATAAAGTGGTAGGAGACAGCTTTAGGCTCCATGTACATTGCAGCCGATAAACTCACGTTTAGGAGCTTTTCTGTATAGCGCTTTACACATATATTATACATTCACATCAGTCCCTAACCCTCTAGTGTACAATCGATGGTCCCTAACTCTTATACATACATATACATACAAGGGCCAATGTAGACAGGAGCCAAATAACCTACCAACATGTCTTTGGAGTGTTGGAGGAAACTGGAGTACCCAGAGGAAACCCACGCAGGCACAGGAAGAACATGCAAGCTCCAGGCAGGTGGTGCCGTGGTTGGGATTTGGACCAATGGCCCTAGTACTGCCA